AGATTGTCCGATTTGAATTATCTTGTGCGAGTATCCCAAAGGAAGGAGCTGGTGGTAAATGTTAACAAAATGAAGAAATGTTGCGTGAAAACTGTCCCCGCGCCAAGTGGGACAAGGGATATCCCGTTAAGGGTTCAGGAAAGAGACGGAGGTCAGGACGAGGCGAATGACGAGGGAATAACTCCACTTGCCTCCCATGATCACGTGGAGGATGATGGTAGCTTCGACTTAACGCCAACCACTTTGAAAGGCGAGAGGACCGAGGATCGAAGTCAGGACCCCACCTGGGAACCAAGTAGACATCAGGAGGTTCAGAGAGCCACCGACAAGACACCCGACACCGGAAGGGAAACGGGGGCTAGGTACTGGTTACGGAGTAGGCAAGGGGAAGACACAGTAGCGTCCGATGGGACCCCGACAGAAAGAGAGGGTGAAGGTAGTGACCCCGAGGAAACAGACGCCGAGCCCCGCCCGAGCGGATTACCCGAAACAGGGAACGTCCCGGAACACGAGGAAGGCACTGAGCAACCCCCTCGATATAACTTGCGACCACTCCCTGGGAGGAAAATTTAAATTATGAATTGTTTTGTTACTTAGACAATTAACTTTTTGTTTACTTACAGATGTAGGTGCACATAAAAGCAAGGAAAGGGGAAGTGATTCACGCCATTCAAACGCAATTAACTTATCTTAAATCCATAGATGATGCCATTTCCGAAAATGCTATGGGATTGGCAACCGTGACTCGCGTTCTTAAGAGTGTGATTACTAACGCTCTTACTTATCAGAAATCTGTTGAGGACGAAATTCAGAACTTGAAAACATTGATAAATTTTCAGGCAAATGTTTCACGCGTCATGCGCGAATTGGAATTTACGGTGATGCAGTTACAGCAATCGGTCATACAACTGCAAGAGGGGTTAGAAATCAGCGCCGCTGGAAGGCTATCTTCAGTTCTGATTCCTCCGCATAACTTATCCAAAATTTTACAAGAAGTTGCTTTGAGATTGCCGCAGGATGTTTCGCTAATAGCCGGTTTTACTGTGGAAAATATGTATGTGTACTATGAGGTTGCGACTGTGCAGGCATACGCTACCGCTACGACCATTCGGCTCATAGTACGCATCCCGCTGAGAGGGGCCGACCGAGTTATGACCCTTTTTAAGAGTGTTCCTTTACCAACCTATTCAGATGTATTGGGAAGACACATTCAAATTGAACCAGAAGCACCTTATTTAGCAGTGACCGAAAACAGGCAGTACTACTCCCCCCTGGCGACGGCAGACTTGCAACAATGTAGGAAGGGGTCAGTTACTATTTGTGAAGCCACTTTTCCGTTTATACATAAGAATCAAGCGACTTGCGTTTCGGCTTTATACTTCGGCCAGACAGATTTTGCACATAAATTTTGCCGGAAGGTTATTTTAAATGAAAAATTTAACCCCGTATGGCTTCAGGCGAAAGGATTTCGCCCTTTTTGGATTTATAGTCTGCCCTCGCCAACTATTGTTACGAAGACATGTAAAGGGAATGGCACCACCCAAAGTTTTAATATTGAATTATCTCACACGGGCATACTAATGGATGATATTCATTGTCAGTTTTATTCTGAGGCCTTTATTCTGTTGCCGGTGTCAGATGGCTATACGAATGTGTTGCTCACCAGCAACCAGGTTCTACCCCCACACCTGCCCGAACTGATGTCGCCTGAGGAATGGCGCCAAATCACGCACGATGAGTTGCGGACACGCCGTGCACTTGCGGCCCTGGAGACCGTCGCGCGACAGAGTTCGCACATCAACCAACAGCCCTATGTTGAGCTGAGAAATCTCCTGGACACCGTGTCTACTGATGGGGCTATGACGAGTCAAGTAACTTGGTTGTATATGCTGTTCGCCTTTAGCATTGGCCTGCCATTTGTGGTCCTCACCCTTAAATACTGGCGACGTCCTATAACCCTCCTGATCCGGAGAGTTCTCCCATGTACCACTGACCAACGACCATATGCGTCCCAGACAGCAAATTGACCGGCCGCACGCAGAGTCCCAGCTATGGACTCAGGGGTGACCAATCGCTTTGGCTCTGTCGAAACTCCCAATGAGAATGTGGAGGACACGGCGTCACATTCCGCTGCGTCACTTGGGGCGGAGGCAGAAACGGTATCCGGACCAGCTCCAGCTGCCCAGCCAGAGGCCGCTGAACGAACGTACTTCGCTCAGCCCGGAAGATTTCAGCTCCTGAACTGAGCGAGAACGACCACACGCAGAGGCCCAGAATAAAGGACTCACCCATGAACTTTGCCACTGTTTAAATTTGTATTTTCTTTCTGCATACTCCGCATATACTGTCTGAGTATTGTCTTTACTATTTTTGTTGTGATATAGTAGCTAACTGTCTTTGTAAGCATTCACGTGGTTACAGCTTGATGTTCGTTGTGTTTGAGAAATCGGAGAGGTGGATGTGAGATGCAATGGACCAAGTGAGTCAAGGTGGTAAGAGGTCTGGATGAAAACCTCAACTCGTTGGAGTTAATATTTCCATTTTATGTGGGGGCAGTGTTGAGCCCATTTCATTAGTTATTAAGTATAATTTTTGTAAAATTGTGTGCTTAGGTTGAAATGTTAGATGGCTGGCCGGAAGGCAAGGAGACAGAACCGCGGCTGACTCTTCGTATTCCTTGGCAGTCGATCGAATTGTTTTTAGAAAAGACTGTTCAAGCATCAGTGGAAAGACCCGGTCAGGTTTTGCTTAGCGCGACAAGGCATGTCCGGCAAGATGCCGACCTCAGGGATTTTGCACGCGCAGCTTTCGTGACTTGGGAAAAAGCTGAATCTTTGAATTGAGAAAACAGGCCGTTTCAGGCACTCTGTTTCTAGCAGTTGCCAGAAACGAATGAGTAAAGCAAAGTGTGCCTGTGGAAAACCTTGGGATGGCGCCGGTGTTCTTCATGTGCATCATGCTTAGCGCGTGTGAGTACTTGCCTGTGGTCGGGTCACTGATGGCTTATTAGAACTTCTGGTTTAAGTTATTTTGGTGGGTTAATGTGTTTTTAGAATCTAGAGGTGTATAAGTGTTTTAATTTGATTATATATTCCATTTTTGTTGTTGTTTGGAGAACTCGAGTTTTTGTGACCCTCCTAGTGAAGCATGTTTTTCCACAGTATAGGTTAAGTGATATCCACGGACGTCCGATAGGGGGTGAGTACAGTCACTGCCCCCTATCCGGGCAGAACACTGTACTTGCAATGTTAGGCAGCTCATTAGTCTAGCTTGTAATCAGTTTCAAACAACATAGTACATAAGAAATTCTCTCCTCTAACTCAATCACTCACTCACTATCAACATAAGAATTCACTCTTCAAACAACATGAATCACAAGAAATTCTGACTCTCACTCAACCTTACTCACTTGAGTCCCTGACTCACTGCTTCCTCTGGACACCTATACGACCTATACCACCACCAGATAAGCTATGTAAGCCAAGCACAGCACAAATCATCTGCAAGAACTAAGACAAAATATTAAAAATTAAATTTATTAAAACAGATCTAAATGTAATACTGAAATATTTGTTGTGTTAACAATAGCATAGTTCCTACATATCATATATTAAAAACTCGGATGATATTCCTGTCATCTTTCAGCTCAAACCATTTTTGCCCTTCATTTTATTTTTATAATAACTAGAGATATGTCTTCAACATCCTTTCCATCTCCATACCTTCTGAGACCTACTACAGATATAACAATCATTTCAGAGGTCTTCCTGAATTACGTTTTCGTTCAGTTAATATTATGGAGTCTCTTTCGAAATTCATTAGAGCTCATCTTGTCAAAACTTTCTTCCAAATTGCTTCTGCATGCTATAAATTTTTTTATTGTGAAATCTGTAGTTCTGTTATAATTTCTTCATTTCTTCTATAGTCCGAGACTGCGTATCCCACTATCCTCATGAATCTGATAATCTCCATTTTTGTCTATTCTCTTTACATATATATGATAAACAATAATGGTAGATTAGCACACACTTCACCATTTTCCCAACATGTATTTGGCCAACCGAGATTTGGTTACATATGAAAAAAAAATGTGAATTTTTATTTGCCAAATATGGAAAATTTTAATACACACAGTCTGCCCCTGGAACACTGCAATTCAATCAGAAGGTTGAGGTAATGTTTTTATCTCCTAACACGATGTCCTACAATCTATGGACCAAGGAGTTATCAAGATATTTAAGTCTTATTATGCTCATAATATCTGCAACAATGTAATCATACCTATGAACCCTGCAGCTCCTGATGACACTTAAAGCAGTATAGGTACAGTCATTCATTTGTGTGTAAAATATAGATATTAAAGGGACACTTCATGCAACTGTATCCCCACCTAACCAATAAGGTATCATGTTTGTTCAAGAAATATCTACCTAACCCTGTTGTTCTCAAGGAACCTAACTCCTGTGATGGAAGGTTTGTTGTTACATAAATCTATAATTCTACTCATTTCTCTGTGAGATTAAAAGATAATAATTGAACAACAGAAACCTAAACATAACAGTGTACAACAGGACAAAGTCCAGTGATCTGGTATATGTCCCATTTTGATATATAAAATAGAAAGAATTTTGGATGGGGTATTGAAAATAAGTTATAGTTTGCACAAAAAAAAACGTAGTTACCAAAGACAAAATCCCATGGAAAGGAACAGATATAGTATAATTTTATCAAGTTTCCTTCTTTAAACATAAATATTTAAACCACTGCAAACAATAAAAACTATTTCTTTCGGCCTGAAAATTCTTAGGAATCACAAAAGTTTGCTGACTGAACATAATGTGTGTGGAATCTTGCTGTTATACACATACCCTTTACCAGGTTCCTATTTTGTTCTTGATTTGACATGAAATGGACTGTGTTGCATGGCGCTATAGAGTGTGTGAAACCCTCATTATTTGAATGGGATTTTCTGTATTTCTTTCTATACAATACTTATTAACTTACCTAATCAAATTCATTTATTGTTAATTACTGGTTCAGTACATTATGTTTACAAAAGAAAATTGTACAGTTGACACTGCAGTTACATAGGCAGTATTATATATTAGTTCCATGTTAACATTCACAGAAACAGAATCAGTACTAGGGTGACTGAGGTTACAATCACATCAGCATATTTTTTTCTTCAAAATAGTTTAACAGATGGCACTAAATGCAGTCATGGCACTTAACAAAAACTACTTGAGAACCTCACAATGCCTAACACTACTCTTTTCTATTAGTCATTTTGAATGCTGCAAATAATTGGACTTGCACATTTCCAAAATAACTTGGCATATTAGCTTTCTACATCCTGATTTCTCTTACAAAATGTTCTAATGAGATCTGCAATGCACCATATACTCGTACAACAAGATGGGAGTTAATGTTAGTCATGTTCCATATCCATGCACCTTTCAGCAAGAATGATAAGAAAGGATGATCCTACAGGCACAATAAGCCTAACAATGACAGCTCTTTTATAAAAGCTGGAAAAATAATTTAAAATCCTGCATCGGTAGTAGTATCCATAGGCCTATATGTATCTGAATTGTACCAATTTCAAAATAACAATTCAAAGGCGACTTTCACATCAGAGCGTCGTGAACCTGCCCAAGCAGTTAAATGTTAAGGTTTATTTCCTCTGCCTGGGGTATGACAAGTTGAGAAATGCTGACTATGCTTTGCAGATGTATAGTACAATAGCCCTTCCCTCCTTCCTCTTGTCTCACATAGAACATTCCAGTAGCATAGATATGGTGATTGATGAATGGGGGAGAATAAAATCTTTCACTTCACTCTCAGTACAGTTTCTTTAAAGATGGCATACACATTAATGCACAGAATTGCTGAAGACTTAATAATTAGTACAATATAGTTTTCTCCAAATCACTGATGTCTGGAATCATTTTCCAAAATATCTACTCTAAAATGCAAGATAATTTCTAGTATAACAACGTGATGTGTGTTTTATAGTGATGACACATGTCTTATCTAAATACCCCATGCCTAAACTACAAGGCCTGACATCTTGTTTGTAATATTACTATCATAGAGCAACATTTTCTGGAAGGGCAGTATGGCTAAGAAAGTGTGCAATAACGAAGTTAGTATCAAGTGTCTGGTTAATCACATCCATGACAAAGACACAAAGAGCAAATAAAGGTGGTGATCCAACATAAAATGAAAAATATGCCATATATACACGCATCACGCAATGGGATAGCAAGATATCGAGGCTTGTTAGCTAGACATGGTTAAAAATCGTAAACTTGTTCGGACTTAATGCACATTAGAATAATGTATAATAATTGCACATAGTACGTACTTGACAACTTTGCAATGACTTATGGGGAACAATATTTTCTGTCGGCACTTATTTCTTAAGAGACAATATGTGACTAACCTCAGATCTGTCTGCCACAAATGTTGGCAAACAGGAGAAACAGTTCAGCTACAGCTCTTGGCTCTTATGCCTCTACATTTTCACATTATAAAACTTGTATTTTACAGTACAAAATAGCTTAGCTGGCCCTGCATTTGGGAAGAAGCATATTTAAAAACTTTTAATATCTATACAATGTTTTAGCTTTAAAACATCACTATGTAACAGAATGTTCAAATTCATCACTTAAAAATCAGAATGACAAAATAATCTCTCCTATGTCTTGACACTCTTAAGTTATTTCACTTATATTTACAAATCACATGCCTTTACCAAAATAAAATGGAGTCGTAACACATACCAGCACAATACAGTTCAGAAGAAATTTTAGAACTATATATAGTGTAATATTACATAATAAGTAAATAAAAGTTTTTACTATCTTTGTGCAAAATGCAAAGCTAGTTTACAAAAAATTTCCTCTAGCTTAATGTATTGTATGAAGAACACTTGTCTGTATCAATTTTCTTAATGTACAAAAAAATAACTATCAGCTGTTCACAGACATGTTACTCATGTGAATCAACATTACACCATGTAGCATGGAAACCAATGCTTCTTGATGGGTTCAACTGCCTTTATTTGGACAATAATTTATACGATTCTTCAGTGTTGAAATCATAAGCATTTATTTAATATTTCATATTTCTGACCACAAATAATTGCACATGAGAAAGCATGCAACCTCCTGGATGTAGCGCCACCACAATTTTGCAGACTTTAAATGAATGTGGAATATGCATGTTCTTCACAGAGTAAGGTCATGTGTATGACTAAATAATGCAAGTTCAATTCTTACAATAGGCATTGCAGTTTTCCTTACATTTTCTAATTTTACAGAGTAAAATTATCCATGTCATGAAGATGGCCTTGTGCTAGAATTAAGAATTTGTGAAGTCTTGTCTCCAGTTCATTACTCTTCGTTTCTTCCTATTTTTGTTAATGTAATAAATAAGTGTCTTTCTGAGTTTATAATGCAGATACAGAAAATCAACTAATAATTATAACATTTTGTTACAAATTACACTTTGCATGTCTATGGTTTTATCTTTTGCCTATGACTTATTTAACAACTCTTTCAATTTTTATCAAATGACAGGAAGACCAGTAAATAACTGATTAGAAAGGATAGGAAAGAAGTTGTCAAGCCCTAATTTAAGATACTAAACTGGAGGGACTGAGGTAAATATGACAAACTTGAGTCAGGGCTATGGTTGGATCAAAATAATCTTGGGCACATAACACTCTATTGGTATAGGCCTAACTGATGTACAGCAGCTGAGTAATGAGGACTGCACTGAGATCTGAGCATCTCTCTTGTACTGGTTTAATCATACAACACAACCGACACTCCATTTCCTGAGAATCTGCCCTACTTATTTTAACCTTTTGTGTGAATCAGGAAATATAAATCAAACACCTAGAAGTATCAGACACCCCCAGATTTACTTCTGTATATTTAGTGTATTGAGAAGATCTCAATAGCAAACAGCTATAATGAGCAACAGTAGGAATAAAGCTTCATCAGTCACAACCAACAATTATGCTGTAACTGGTAGACAGTATCAGTCTACCAGCACAGAGAGAGGAGAACCACATGGCAGTAGAAGCAACTTTAGTCACATAGGACATGGCAGAAGAAAGGCCCACACAACATATCAGAAAATGTGATCTTTTTATGTTGCATTTTGCATGTTCATAATTTTTATTTAGTGGAACATGTGACTGTATTCTATCAGATATTACTACATAACCCACTGGAATCATGTGCAGCAGGATATTTGACATACTTCTTCTGTGAGAAATCTGAAACCCTGACTTCAAGAATCAACACATTTACAATAACTGGAGATTTGCTAATATTTGTATGAGACTGTAGCATAGTTGGTAACCATGTTAAGTTTAATTAGGCTTGGTTTAAGTACTGCTTAAGACTGCACAATCTGCTGGCAGAAAACAAATTCTTTGGCACCATCTACAAATATATAATTTATTTTTCATCGTTTTAACACACTGACTGCCATACCAAAGTCTGAAATTTGTTCCTCTCAGGCCAAACTGGCATTTCATTTTTAAAAATATCAATAATTGTGTAATTTGGAATAATTTTTTTATTAGAGCACACATTGGTAACTTACCTGGCCTGAGCACAACTTCTCAACAGTATAAATCTATACTTTGTGGGTTTTGCCTCAATTTACCGCACTTTCAAGGATATTAGATGCAGCTGGTGTGTATCCCATGTATAGAACATTACAAGGGATACATGCCCATTTAGGGAGAGCTACACACATAGGGAACACAGCGTGGACGCCGCAATACGAAAGTAGCATGAGTGATGTGTGCACATACATTCTCAAATGACAACTTGCAGTAGTAGCATGTAATGTATTGGCATAGGAGCTGATACAGTACGGCGGTTTCAATCAATCAGTTGCCAGAAGATGGCCTTATAGGGCCAAAACATGGTGTGACAGTGAAATAAAATAAGATATTAATGACATTTTGGAAATTTAAATATGACTGTAATGACTTTTTAAAATAAAAGTTTATGTTGCATTAGAGATGGAAACAAGTGGACGAGTGATGTGTCAATGCAACAGGATGCAGAAATGCCACAGCATCTGTCCCGACAAACATGGTATTGAAACTTTTTAAATTTCTACTACAATGTGGAAGGGAAACTTACACAACTGTGGTACTTGCCAGAAAAGTTCTTGATTGTGATGCATCTTCTTGGCACATAACATACAAAGTGAAAACTAACTCCATGTGAAGTTATCAGTGCAAAATTGAAATAGTTTAATTTGGTATCAATGGAAAGCAACTGGAGAATTAAGGTAGTGAAATGGTAGGACAAAAGAGATGTCACACTCCTTAGCACTTGCCATTCAAATGAGATAGTCACAGTCATCATGTGCAGCGAAAGAGTACCAAACCACAAGCTATCAATGACTATGATTCTTGCAATCTTCAATTGATCTCTTGGATCAGATGTCTAGTTGTTCAACAAATATCTGATAGTCAGTCATATGGTACAGAAAACTAGCAGTGGAAATAGTCTTAGGCATAGCAGTTGTCAATGCACACTTCCTTTACAAGAAAATAAGAAATGAACATGTTTAAATTAAAAAATCCATGGAAAATATTGTCAAGGGGCTGCTGAACCATGATTATCTGTATTCATATCGAGTAATGTGAAATAAAAGACCCAAATTACAATCATTTTCATGTAAAATTGTAAATATACATTTCAACAAAGGGGAGACTGAATTATTAAAATCTTCATAGTATACATCCTGTTGCATGAGCTACAAATAAACAAAATGTTAATGCATTAGTGTCTATTTTGTTGTTCTTTCAGAAATATTGCTGTGTAGCATGTCCTTACTGTATATATCATATATCCTATGAATTTTTAAAGCCTTGACTCGATATTCACATTCACTGTGCTGATATTTGGATCATGTCTATACTAATAATAATTATATCATACAGGCAGTCTTCTAATGCTCGTGCCACTTTTGCTCAATTATAAAATATATCCCAGAAACCAATGCTCACACAAGACATCTGCAGGCCACAGCAGACATAAACACAAGAGATGTCCTCAGATGTTGGACAGGCGCAGTGGAATGCGGCCAAATGTCAGCAAGTAAGAGTGGACACCAGTGGCTTCTGTGGTAGTAAGGCAAATGTGCTGCAGCAGACATGACTGCTGTGGCAGTAAACGTGTTAATTGTACCATATATTTTCTGAAGCTACAACAGCTATGGATTACCCCCTTCTCTACAATGTACATTCCCTTTTGCCTTTCGTTCACACTGCAGTTACTTTAATTATGCCTCTTCTTCCTGTGTCAATCTCATAATAAAAAAGGTCTAATTCTGTAACCAGCCAAGTACCAGGTCAGAGATGAATTCCCAGACTTAAGGACTGATAATTTGTTGTCTCATTATGGCTATAACATAACTCAGGGGTAGTGACTGATGGGTGTAGAGCAATGGTTGAATGAGGATTAGCTGGAAAAAACTGAAGGAAGTAAGAGTGAAACCTGCTCCAGTACCACTTCATTCACCACAAATAACATATGAAGTCAACAGGGACTGAACTCAGGCCTACACGGTGAAGAACATAACATAAAATGTAAATTAATTTTGTACCGGCCTCATATAATGTGGCTTACTGTACTTCTTCTAGTATGATAAAAATATAAGTGTTATTTTAAAACTATAAAGAAATTAAAACTTGCTATGGAACATACAGTACTCTAAAGGCTGCAAATTCAAACAGAGACAGAAAACCAGGCACAAGTAAATTGGTATTGTATTATCTTAACTCAAATGTTTTGATGAGAAAATGTTTGAAACATTTCATGGTTTCTTTGTTTCAAAGCACAGTGCTTGGTCACAGTGCACTCTTATGAGAAAACAATGTTTATATATTGTGTCCAGTTTAGTTTCTGGTGTAAATAAGGTAAAAAGGTAGCAACTATGAAAACAGAATTCTAAAATAATCAATCCCTATTGAATGAATTAAAAACTTGCAAAATTCTTGCTCAGTATACAGTGTATAAATCATATAATTTTAATATCAGTATAACTGCTCAGTCAAATATAATATTCCATACATGAATACAAGGATCAAAATGGCATTAAAATTTCCTTCTTTAACTTGCATACCATTAAAATGTGCACAAGTTTTATTCTATGTAAGACTGGTTTTGTACATTATTTGCAGATGACTAAGGAACAAACTGCAAAGCCCTTGCTATGTTGCATGCTTTCTTCACACTGGCGCTATTTATATTAATTTAACACATCTCAACTGTAAAGATCATCATCTTAGTACCTCAACTATATTTTCTTGTGATAGTGATTAAGGTGAAATACATATAATTATTTTCACATTTTACTTCCTCAGAATAATGGGCTACTCTTTTACCTTCTCCATCTTCAAAATCAATGCGCTGCATGTGATTTCAGGTGATATTCAGATGTCTGACAGTAGGGGACGAATTGTAGGTACAAAACTGAACCTCCTGGAACAGCTCTCATTGAATGTGTGGAAGTTTCTCATATCATTATCACTTAATGCACACAAGCATCAACAGTGCAGTCTGTTTTTTTTCTTTGGTATAAAGCCTGAGTACAAAAAGAAAAATAAGTCACTTATCTCCTACACTTCACTCCACTCACAAACTCATTCACACTTTGTTATCAAGAAAGTTGCTGAATTTAACTTCTTAAAGAGTCAAAAAGTATCTTCACCATTTTTCTTTCTTTGTGAAATTTGTACTGTTTTTAAGAACTGGGTATCTACTCATAATCTATTGGCTTGGATAAACAAATAAAGACATAGTTGGCTGGTATGTGTAAAATGTAGACTTATTTCAGTCTTGCTCTTAATTAATGTAATTAGCTGCCAATATTCTGTTTCCTCCTTGTATCACTACTATAAACCAGACCTGTGCAATCACAACTATACAGATACCAAAAACACCAATATTTCATTTAATGATTTCATTCTGTGTATGTATATTATTTACACATCAGCAAAACTAAGCTGGGTACATAATAATATTCATAAACATTTCATTCACAGGCTTATAAATTGAGAAATAGATACCTGATGTCTAACTGGATAAAATACATTTTTAAAATAAATTTTTCCAATTTGAAAGGAACCTCTTTTAAAAAATCACATAAAGAGGCATCTCTTTATAAACAAGCATAGTGAGAAGATATATTATGCATAGAAGAACAATCGAATGGTAATATAATAATAAATATTAAGGTGTTTCAGCTGACAGCTTTGCCAAATAGGAAAAGCAAACACTGATGCTGAAGTATTCTGAATTTACAATTCTCAGCATCAAAGGAAACTGTTTCCACTTCATATTTTCTTGACAGCAAACACAATGCACAGTCTCAGATGTCACAGTCCATTACAAATTAAATTACCTTGGTATCTGTAACCTGGTTTCACTATAATCTTATTTATAACTGCTAGCTAAAAGAAAACAAACAAAAAAAAAGTGATACAGAGTTTATATTTAAAACGCATGTAGCTTTCATAACCACACATTCTAATGACCTCGTACTATGTATGTGTTGTTTCGTATTTCACTATGACAATGTAGTAAATATCTTTCATGTTTCCAGAGCTTAGAATAATTGTTCAGCACCCACAGCAGTCCTTTGATCTTCCAACCAAAGGCCACCTCTCCCTCAGTGTACCCTTGTTCTCTCCACCAGCCAGCCAGTGCTACAAGATGCTGGAAGCCATGCACTGGAGCACAACATCAATGTGACGAAACTCTTCGGAGCCAATTCTCTTACGTGCTAAGTTCTGTAGATGTAGCTGCATGGTGGTGGTGGACTGCCACCCATTGTCATGGAATGCATTGAGACAAGAGGGGGAGAAGGGGAGGAGGAAGGGGGTGAGGGTGATGACGACGAGCTGGAAGGGGGGGTGGCTGTGGCCAGAGGATGTGACCCACCCAAGGTCCCAGCACCACTCCCTGCCTGCTGTCTGTGCCTCGCCCCCCCGGTGCCTGCCCGGTTGCGTGGTGGGCGTGTCAGGCTACGATGCCCCCTCCCTTCCTCCCCTGCCTCTCAGAGGTACACCTTTTTGGCACTACGGGCAGTGCCAAAGCCATCACTCACAATCCCAGAACCTGGGGGTGCACGGCCACTACGGTAGCCATCTCCCTGATGAGAGCGCAGTGTACCAAAGTTGTCACGACCACGTTGATGTGCATATGGATCCCGGGGTGGAGGCGTGTAATTGTCAGCAAACTGGAATAATGTCTCAGCAGCATGGTTGGCATTATGAGCTTTCCTCAATGTGCTCTTTGGTGAATTAAGTTTGTTGGGGCCAGGAGCTGGTACTAAAACAGGCTCTGCATATGTTACCTCCTCCTGGGGTAGAAGTTTAGGCTCAGGAGCTAGGCGGCTGTATGAAAAAAGAAGCTGTTAGGATACAGGCTACATGAAGAAACATACAAACAATAGCCTTCCAGGTATCAAAGCAAATGTGACCCATTAAGTAGTACCTAATATGCAAAGTTCTTTAAATATTTCAAATGGATTGTTATTAATAGTATTATTGATTTGGTATAAATAAGACCTTGTGAAAAAACTCGCTTTCATAGTAACAACTATGCACTTAAACCCTAACTCCATTGAATATAAGCTTCCCCTAATAATATAATCTAAGAATATTCAAAAAAATATTTGAAAACCTGTGATCTATAGAAATTGATCAAAGACATACAAAGGTAACACACACTCAAGAAGAATTAGAAAGTCATGCCACTGAACAAATTGGTGTAGCAGTAATTGTAGCACTCCAAACTTGTATTCAAGAGGCACACAATTCAAATTGAGGCAATAAAGAATTCATAAAAATATATAAGAATTTTACTAGTCATAAAAACGCAACTTTCAGTATCTTATAAAAGATAAAACAATTCCATCCAGTGTGACTGTCAGTTACTGTGACGGACCAGAATGAAACAAATCAAATTCAGTATCTTATTTGAACACGTTTGTTACGTGGAATTGTAATTTTAATTACTTATGGTATCTACATACTTCACATACTTTCTGACCCAAAAAAATCATGTTTGAAAATTGTGGTTCACAAAATATGTGATCATGACTCCCTGTAGTATAATTTTATATATCAGATTGAGGAAACTATAGTTCCATGTGATACAGCACCAGTTTTATGGACATTCATGCCTACAGACCCCACCATGTGATTCCTTGATGCCCTGATAAACACTAATATGAAAATGTTCCTTCATAAAAATTTTACTGACATAATTTTAGCATAAAATGCAATTAAAGTTGAAAGCAATGTGACCATACTCTATGGAAGTTCATGCCTGTGTACTTTACCATATGATTCCTTGATTTATATTGGGAAGACACTACCCTTTAACAAAATTTAGACCAACACAGTTTTTTAAAAAAATATGAACCAAGTTCTTCATAGCATATTGCCATAATGCGTTTAATGTTCTTTGCATTTTTTGCAAAAATTAAACAGGATCAAAATTTTATTAAGAGTAGAAATGAGTATTAATTCTTTCTGACTTTTTTCTGTATTATGCTGCACAACTTATGTGAACAAATATAGTACATAAGTTTTACATTTTAATAACTGTTGACTGATATACCTATAATTTTTAATACAGGAATAACATTTAAAATGTCCCTAATGTAAACCTAAGCTTATGTAACAGAAGAACATACTACCTCTTAAATTCAGTATTATGGGGTCTTCCTCAATCTATCCAGGTGAACTCTGGGATAGTACCTTGGAATAACTTGCAATGACGGCCTTCCAGAATTGATACCTATTCACCATTAAAAATCCATCTTCCCTTCTCATTTTTTGCTAAGCCCTGCCACTGTGGTAAGTAGATGACAAAATTGAAAGGTTTGCTAGGCACAGTAGGAAATAAATACGTTACCTGTTAACGGTCTGCCGTTGTTCAAAATATTCATATTCAGTGTCTGGGTATGGCAAGTTATCCTCTTCCTCTTTGTGACACTTTCTCCCGCAGAAGTATCCTGTCACAAAGCCAACCATAAGGGCAGCTACTGAGCCTGCAACAACTGCCATGGCCAATGTTTCCACTGAATACTTTGGTGCAGGACTGTCAGCTGCACTCACTTCTGGGCCTGAAACATGGAGATGGTTGTCTTGATACTGAATAGATCAACTCAACACACTGCAGATACGTCAATTTGAAAGCTGTTATATAAATCTCATGCACTGGGTATGGCTCACACAGGTCTACATTTCTGTCACCTGTGTCATTCCTCACTTCATGGATGCTTCTCTGGCTGACTTACTGGCTCAACCTTATTAGCAGCTTGAAGAAAGATATTTATCTTGTAATAATAAATAAGAACCACTTGTTGTTCTATGCCCTCAGATACTGTACATTTGCACAACAGTGCTGCCACAATTGCCACTTAGTTCTAAATAAAAGAAAGACAAGGCACTTTCAACATATGCCCTTACATACCATAAGAATGCAAAACAATTCTATCATTCAATTCACTTGTGGGAACATCCCACATGGCACGCTGTTTCACCAGTCTTTCAGACAACACTCACTCCTAAGTGAATATCACACTGCCGGACATTGTGCCAATATTTATATACAGCACTCACTGTCCAGCCCAGCTTCGCATCATCGCTGGCCAATCAGCGCTCACAACCGCAACTGCAAGTTTCACTCTGCTCATCAAGCATTGTATAAAAGGCAGAGCCCAAAGCATGCAATTGTCAGTGATCACACTCAGTTCAGAGCCATCAGTCATCAGAGGTATGGTGATGCCATTTACCAAGATGACAATGCCCGTGTTCACACAGCTCACATCGTCCAAGACTGGTTTTCTGAGCACTAAGATGAAGTGTCACATCTGCCATGGCCCCCACAATCGCCAGATTGATATTATTGAGCCTTTGTGGTCTGTTTTGGAGAGCAATCTGCGTGCACACTATCCATCTCCATCATCGTTAACAGAACTTGCCAATGTTTTGCAGGAAGAATGGTACAAGACTCCCTTGCAAATCATACAGGACCTCTATTTATCCATTCCAAGGAGACTGCAAGCAGTTCTGCAAGCCAGAAGTTGTCCTACTCCATATTAGTCATGGTAATGTGTTTTTTGTTGGGTGTTTCCATATTTTTGTCCATCCCCTGTACTTAAGGTTTAGGATGTATAATCCTGGTAAAACTACAAAGTATAGCTTTTAAGTGTGATTGGTGTGTGAAGCTAAATCAGAGTACAGGTCATGTGGTATCTGTGGTGGGCAAAATGGCACTGGGGCAGTTTTGGCCAAGTACCTCTGTTTCTCAGGGCAATTCTCATTACACCAACTACCCCACATTCCTTGATTGTCCACTGATAGACACTATGTAGTCTACATACTGACAGCATTGTTAAAAACACCTAAAAAGCTTTGGTTCATACAGGCAACACTGAGATATATACAGCTGAGGGAAAAGGTTAGAAGAAGGTTTTAACACTTATGGAAATTAACTTGGATCTAAATCACATTTATCAGGACAACTGCTATAACTGTGCAGAAGCGTGTGAAAATACATGCAAAGGAAAACAAGAGTTTCTGGTACTGAGAAGTCTATCAAAGGAATTCCATAAGATCTTTGAAAACAGACCAAAAGCATTGTGGAACAACAATCACTTCTTCCCAGAAATGGTGATATTTTGGTCCAGATTTTGAAAGCAAAGCAGGTGCTGTGCATGATTTATACAACTTACAATTCAAAACTGGTGAAGTCAGGACAGAAAGGCAGAGAGACTGGGAAGGTAATAATGTAGTCCAGTTGTACTGTAAATGTAATAAATACATGAAAGTTATGGACAGGGACAATCAGTATAGAAGTTGTTTTATTCATTCATTTATCAGTTATCTGTCAGACGACAGGTCCACAGTCTCTTCCAAAACAATTCCTCCACTTAATTCGATCTAGAGCTTACTCCTTCAAATGTGCCTATCCTCTTCTGTCCCCAAGGTCATCCGGCATCTTCTTATGTCTTCTTCCTTGTCTTCTGATCACTTCTATCTGCCCCTCTATCTTTCCTTCAATAACTTCTTTTAGAAGGCTGTTACTGCATAAGATATGACCAATCCAATTAGCCTTCCATTTTCTTATTTCGTGTAGGATATTCCTCTGCTCACTGACTCTAAATAACACTTCTTCATTTCTCACATAATCGGTCCAAGTGATCTTCTCCATCCTTCTCCAACACCACATTTCGAAGCTATCCAGGTGTTTCTGAAATACTGCCCTAAGTGTCCAAGTTTCAGCCCCATACAAAGCCATGCTCCAAATGTAGCATTTCACTAGTTTCTTTCTCAAATTTAAGTCCAATTTGCAATTTGCTAGTAAAAAGATTGTTCTTCTTGCTAAATGCAGCTTTTGCCACGGCAATCCTAGATTTAATTTCACAAGTACACCTTCCATCATCTGTTAATAAGCTACCCAAATATTTAAAACATTTCACATTCTCCAGTTGTTTTTGGTCTATCTTTATTGTGACTTAAACAACAATATAAAGTGACAGGGTATGTCATACCTGGTGCTGAAGCAGCAGTTTTCACCAGAATAGTACAGCAGGAAATAAGTGGACTAACAGAAGAGGATATACTTATTTAGTGGGACGAACAAACGATATCGTGAAGAATAATACTTTAAGAGGTATTAAGTTTATACATCATTATTTGTTGAAAAATCGCCACACTAATCTCATTTTTATGGAGGCGCCTCATAGGCATGACATGATGAAAACATCAGTAGTCAGTGAGGAGGTTAAGGTTTATAATAGGAAGTTAAATGATGTCACCAGTAAGTATAGGCATACTTCCGTAATGCACATAGGCCTAGCAAGAGAGGACTTTACAAGACATGGAAGGCACCTA